TCGGATATATGTCCGCCCACAGGGGGCGTGGCAAACCGCAAAAGTTGATATCTCCTAAAGTATAATACCTAGAAGCTTCAAATTTAGAGAGTTAAGTTACCAGTAACCTCTTCTATCGATGACCCAAAAATAATTTTTACGCCTCTTTAGGGGCGTGCCATATCGAAAAATACCCTGCAATTTTCACATTTTTTGAGGGTAAGGATTCAAACTTTGCAGTTAGTGTACCGTTGTCACGTTCTAAGAAGTGACCAAAAATGAGGTGTCTGCGCCCAGTAGGGGCGTGGAAAATCAGAAAAACCTGTATATTCTACAGTATTAGAGAGAAACTTAACTACTAAATTGTTAATGGGATGTGAATGAGTATTCTGCAGTCGGTAACGCCCGAGTGCAACGTTCGTACTTGTTTATGTATACTTATATGCATTATACAATTTCGGTTTTTGTCACCCTAATTCTAATTCATCCCCTCACCATCACATTTGTAAAAAGCGTATTTCAAATACTTGTGCTTTGACAAATACTCGTATATCCATGTTATAATCATAATCTGAAAGTTTCATGAAGAAAGTACATCCACAAGAAAAGTTATTGAACAATTAGGTTCCTATAGTAAACCACCACTGCAGCCAATGCGTGCGTGCGTATCTATGTGTGTGTGTGTGTGTGTGTATGATGTGTGTGTATATGTGTGTGTATGCCTGTGTGTGTATGCTTGTGTGTGTATGCTTGTGTGTGTATGCTTGTGTGTGTATGCTTGTGTGTGTATGCGTGTGTGTGTGCGTGTGTGTGTGCGTGTGTGTGTCTTGTGTAAGCAAAAAGACACGAAAAATGATTGAAACAGCTATTGCTCGAAGGGTTCAGGGGAACTCGTAGTTGGGCAATCTCGACTACAGCTTGCTTACTTGTTATACCCTGAACCCATTTTCAATGGGAAATCAGGGTATAATGGTTTTGTTAAAAGTATGTAACAGGCAGAAGGAGGCGTGGCAGACCCCATAAAATATATATATTCTTGATCAGGGCGAAGAGCTGAGTCGATTTAGCTCTGTTCGTCTGTCCGTCCGTCCGTCTGTCCGTATGTTTGAACGCGTCGATCTCAGAAGATATAAGAGCTAGAGACTTGAAAACCAGTAATAAATTTATATCTCCTACATCTTTAAAGCTAGAGTCTCCAAATTTTATATGTAGATAAAATATATGCATTTTATACAATTTCGGTTTTTGTCAAAATTTACCCCCCACCCCTAATTCACCCCCTCACCATCACATTTGTAAAAGGCGTATTTCAAATACTAGGGACTTGTGCTTTGGAATTAAATTATTCAAGAAATAAATTCTTATAATGTTGCCCACACTGCAGCCCAAGCGCAGTCGCTGCTTACTGCGCAGTTAGCGCAGAGCGCGTTCTAATACGTGCGTGTGCATGTATATGTGCCGAAAAGAAGTGCAATGATTAGAATATCAAATTAGAGGGTACAGGGTATCTTCTAGTCGAGCAGTCTCGACTAGAGTCTTCTTACTTGTTATACTCTGAACCCATTGAAAGTGGGAAATCAGGGTATAATGGTTTTGTTAAAAGTAAGTAACAGGCAGAAGGAGGTGTGGAAAACCCTATAAAGTATATATATTCCTGATCTGGTCGAAAATCTGAGTCGATTTAGCTCTATCCGTCCATCCGTCTGTCTGTCTGTATATATCACGCGCATATCGAGTCTTTCTTAAAAAAAACGATCACTTGGCCAGTTATTTTGTTATCGATTAAAAACTTTATCGCAAATCAGTAATAAATTTATACCTGCTCCATCTTTAGAGCTAGAGTCGACAAATTTTTAATGTAGATTCATATGTACTTTATAGAATTTCGATTTCTTTTAAAATAAAAACAATTTCAAAGTGCTCAAATATTTGAAGGATATAATCGTACGAAATAAGACTAGAAATAGTAAAGCATTTGTACAAAGGTTGTTGGGTATAATAAGTACCTCTGGAGCGTCGGCTCCCTTCTTATATTGGTTTAATAATTGAATGAATATTATATCTTTAAATAATTTGGTTTAGCCTTAGTATGTAGAATCATACCTACACGTGCTCGTTCTGTCGCTGCCGTCAGTTTGTTATGTATTAATGGTTACAATATTACAAAATATTGATAAGAACAAAATAGTAAAGGAAACAGAATGAGAATCAGAATAATGAAAATCACTGCGCAACTTTGGTAACAAGTGTATACCAACGATTACGCCTGGGCAATGCGAGTGATTTCCCTAAGATGACTTGAAAGCAAGGATTTTGTTAATGGAAGAGAGGGATAGAACTCTAAGGAAAATTATAATATTAAACAAGTAAGAAAACTCTAGTGGAGACTGCTCGACTAGATACTACCCTGAACCAAACTAATAAAAAGGCCCATTTAGTATGGCTAAAATTTAAATTGCGATGTATTTAAAAATATAAATGAAATACAAAACTCATTTAATTAATAAATAAATATTTTGAAACAATTAAAAAAATCAGTTGCGCGTTTGGAATTCGAACGCCACCTTAGTTTTGGAAGCTGCGCTGGCAAAATTGAAAAAGATTCACTGCTGCAGCGCCATCTAGCAAAACTAAACCAAGCTAACAGCTGTCCTAGAAGAAGTTTGAATGTATGTGTGCACACGTATATTGTTGTAGCTGCTGTACGTGCGTTTGTTAATTGGCCAAACATAACGTCGATTGACTTAACGGAATTTAATGAAATTTTCAGCACATGAATATCTGACAAATTAAAAAAAAAATGAAAAATCATTCACAATTAGCTATATAGTGGCTTCTGACTTGAACTTGAATGTTTTTATTCGATAAAAACATAACGGGATGATTTATCGAATTTTAAAAGCAAACTCGACATCCGCGCTGTATATGCGGTCATTTAAAAAACAAATCAATCTTCAGAAATCGACGCGTTCAAACATACGTACAGACGTCGCTCTGATCAAGAATATATATACTTTGTGGGGTCTGCCACGCCTCTTTCTGCCTGTTACATACATTTCAACAAAACCATTATACCCTGATTTCCCATTGAAAATGGGTTCAGGGTATACAAAATATAACGGACGAAAAAAAGTTACATTAACAAAAAGAACGAATCAATCAGAAAAATAATCCCTAAATGACAATACCTATTATTGATATCATATTAAACGTACTACATATTATAGATTTGCGATTTTATTTATTTAATACTAACATTTAAATAAGATTCCCAAATGTCAAATAAAGCATTCACAGATGATTTTTAATTACTATTCGCCTTCTCAAACACATTACGTAATGTCTAATTAAATGTATTTTCTTTTTACAGATTGATGATATTACCATTGAATCTTCTTCAAGTTTGGAAATTTTAAGAAGAGTTGCAGCGTTGGAGGCTGAAAATAAGGAAATTCGAAATATTGTTTCAAATTTTGCTCAACTGTATAATGATATGCTGAAACGTATTTCAATTATCGAAAATAACAGAATTTTAAATTAAAATATATTAGTGGCTTGATACGAATAATCATGAAAAAAGTAATAATAAGCGAAAACCAAATATTTACAAAATTGTATGAATTATTGTCAACTCCATTATATACTTGATTTGTATTTATGAGACAAGAGCAAGAATATGACGCTAATAACTGATATGTATAACCTGATGAGATAATAAAAAAAAAAAGTATTTGGAATATTAACAATTTTTAAGAAATAACCCTTTTTATACCCTGAACCCATTTTCAATGGGAAATCAGGGTATAATGGTTTTGTTGAAATGTATGTAATAGGCAGAAGGAGGCGTGGCAGACCCCACAAAGAATATATATTCTTGATCAGGGCGACGAGCTGAGTTGATCTGGCCCTGTCCGTCTGTCCGTATGTTTGAACGCGTCGATTTCCGAAGATAAAAGAGCTAGAGACTTGAATTTTTTTTTTAAATTACCGTATAAACAGCGCGGATGTCGAGTTTGCTTTTAAAATTCGATAAATCATACCGTTATGTTTTTATCGAATAAAAACATTCAAGTTCAAGATGCCACTACAGCTAATTGTGAATGATTTTTTTTTTTTTTTAATTTCTCAAATATTCAATATAATATGTAGATCATATGCTGAAAGTTTAAATTTTATTCAGTCAAAAATTAATTAAAAATCAATTAAATATTTGGCCAATTAACAAACGCACGTGCAGCCGCTACAACAGCATTGTATACGTTCATTCAAACTTCTTATGGAACATTCTTTGAATCACATCAGCTGTTAGTTTGGTTTAGTTTTGGTAGATGGCACTGCAGCAGTGAATCTATTTGAGTTTTGACAGCGCAGCTTTTAGAAGTGAGGTGGCGTAGTGAGTAGCTGCGTGACGCTCGGTCGAGAAGTCCCGTCGATTTCAGAAGATATAAGAGCTAGAGACTTCAAATTTTTTTAAAATGTCCGTGTTTACAGCGCGTATATCGAGTTTATCACTAAAAATCGACAAATCATCCCGATTTTTTTATCGATAAAAACCCTTATCGAAAATCAGTTATAAAATTATATCTCCTACATCTTTCGAACTACAGTCTCCCAATTTTGAATGTATATTTATATGCATTTTATACAAATTCGTTTTTTGTTAAAATTTACCCGCCACCCCTAAATCACCTTTGTAAAAGGCGTATTTCAAATACTAGAGACTTATGCTTTTGCAGGTGCACGCATATTATTGTTATAATTACGATCTACAAATTTCATGAAGATCGTATGTCCACAAAAAAAGTTATGAAACAATTAAGTTCTCATATTAAGCGCACACTGCAACCCATGCGTGTTTATGCGTGGGTGCTTGTGTGTATGTTTTTGTGTGTGCACGTGTTTCTTGTGTAAGCAGAAATACGCAAAAAATTATTGAAATAGCTATTGCTCGAAGGGTTCAGGGGATCTCGTAGTCGAGCAGTCTCGACTAGAGCTTTCTTACTTGTTATTAGTTAGTTATCTTTTGTTAGTTATCTTTTGTTACCGAACCGGCAAACAGTTTTTATTATTTTATATGGCTTGGGAAGCACGCAGGATCCTTTTTGGTGTAAGACCTACTTACTTTCTCTTACTTTCGTTTCATTTATTTATTTATTTTACTTTTTTCTTTTCTATATTGTTGCCAGACTTATTCTCTTCCGAAAGGGAAGCCCAAAGTATTCCTCTTTGGTTCTAAGACCTATTGTAAGGGTTATTCCACGATCGAATAGAAGGTCTCTGCAATTCATGTTTTTATTTTTGCATATTTACGCTTTGCTTGTTGATTAGAGATTTCCAGATAACCGCCTTTTAGTTAGTGCTTTAAACTTAACTTTGACCTCTAGGTTCCTTTTAATTTATACGGAAACCCATCATTCAACACAGGTGGAAATTGTGACGTTTATTTTTTATGACATTTGTCTTACGGGAAGGATTTGAACCTCGATACGAGAATAAATCTCGTACCACCATTATGCCTGCAAATTTCTTTTATTTTCGTTTTAAGAGTCGTCTCGGCACGGATTTGAACCTAGGTATTGCCAATACCACCATTTAGCCACGATTTCTTTTATGTTATAGAATTATCTAGTGCACCAACACTTGCTAGAAATTATTTTATTATATATTGTATTATGTTATGGCAAGCACTTTTACCCCATTACTTTGCAAATCACAGAAGTACTTCATAATTTTGCCAACAATTGCCCTATTGGATTGGAACAATTTATTTGTACTTGCTTTTTTAATAAGTTATTTTTATAGAATTATTGACACGTCACCATTTCCCTTTACTTCCGTGAAGAATGTGGGTCCCTGCTCGGGCGCCAGTTAAGCGCTCCCACACTAGAGTACTAGTGATTGGGGACGCTGTGTTGGGTTCTTGTGAATATATAACAACTTTGTGTTCAATGAAATAATATATTTTGTATAATTTGGAACAATAGGTCTAAACTCTCTCTAGTCCGAATATATACTAAACTAAATGTGTTCTACTGGTTAGGTTCTCCCCTTGAATGTCTGACTGGACTCTCCAGCCTCCTTAGATTGTCGAAAGTCTTAACTTATATTCACAAGAACCCAACACAGCGTCCCCAATCACTAGTACTCTAGTGTGGGAGCGCTTAACTTACATACATTAGAGTTCTGGTAGTGTACTCGTTGGTGATAGTCTTCCAAATATTTAAAACTTTTCATGTATTTGGAAATCAAAATTTATGAAACAAGACTCTAAGATCCGAGTTAAAGCTTCAAGTTGACCAAAAGAAATCTAACACAAATCAAACCAAGGGAAACATGTGGGAGGGACAAACGAAACATTAAGATGTACTTATTTTGGGTTACTTGATATTTTCAAGTAATGTTTGCCAGCTGTTCACATCTATAGCAAATGGTTTAGAAATCGAAAATAAATGCTGAAATTACAACGAGTAAAAAAAACTCTAGTCAAGAGTGATCAACAAGATACTACCCTGATGCAAACTATTAATATTTTGAATTTCTATATATTTAAAAAAAATAATAGTTTTGAATGTATGTATATATATTCATAAAAATATAATATTAAGTGTAGATGGACATTAGTGTATAGTTACAAATTTTGCCAGGATACAGTCTTAAACTTGCATATAAGCAATGAAAACTGTTTTCATTTAGTGGATGGATCCCGTTGTTTTTATACGCTGAACCCATTTTCAATGGGAAATCAGGGTATAATGGTTTTGTTAAATGTATGTAACAGGCAGAAGGAGGTGTGGAAAACCCTATAAAGTATATATATTCCTGATCTGGTCGAAAATCTGAGTCGATTTAGCTCTATCCGTCCATCCGTCTGTCTGTCTGTATATATCACGCGCATATCGAGTCTTTCTTAAAAAAAACGATCACTTGGCCAGTTATTTTGTTATCGATTAAAAACTTTATCGCAAATCAGTAATAAATTTATACCTGCTCCATCTTTAGAGCTAGAGTCGACAAATTTTTAATGTAGATTCATATGTACTTTATAGAATTTCGATTTCTTTTAAAATAAAAACAATTTCAAAGTGCTCAAATATTTGAAGGATATAATCGTACGAAATAAGACTAGAAATAGTAAAGCATTTGTACAAAGGTTGTTGGGTATAATAAGTACCTCTGGAGCGTCGGCTCCCTTCTTATATTGGTTTAATAATTGAATGAATATTATATCTTTAAATAATTTGGTTTAGCCTTAGTATGTAGAATCATACCTACACGTGCTCGTTCTGTCGCTGCCGTCAGTTTGTTATGTATTAATGGTTACAATATTACAAAATATTGATAAGAACAAAATAGTAAAGGAAACAGAATGAGAATCAGAATAATGAAAATCACTGCGCAACTTTGGTAACAAGTGTATACCAACGATTACGCCTGGGCAATGCGAGTGATTTCCCTAAGATGACTTGAAAGCAAGGATTTTGTTAATGGAAGAGAGGGATAGAACTCTAAGGAAAATTATAATATTAAACAAGTAAGAAAACTCTAGTGGAGACTGCTCGACTAGATACTACCCTGAACCAAACTAATAAAAAGGCCCATTTAGTATGGCTAAAATTTAAATTGCGATGTATTTAAAAATATAAATGAAATACAAAACTCATTTAATTAATAAATAAATATTTTGAAACAATTAAAAAAATCAGTTGCGCGTTTGGAATTCGAACGCCACCTTAGTTTTGGAAGCTGCGCTGGCAAAATTGAAAAAGATTCACTGCTGCAGCGCCATCTAGCAAAACTAAACCAAACTAACAGCTGTCCTAGAAGAAGTTTGAATGTATGTGTGCACACGTATACTGTTGTAGCTGCTGCACGTGCGTTTGTTAATTGGCCAAACATAACGTCGATTGACCTAACGGAATTTAATGAAATTTTCAGCATATGAATATCTGACAAATTTAAAAAAAAAAAAGAAAAATCATTCACAATTAGCTATATAGGGGCTTCTGACTTGAACTTGAATGTTTTTATTCGATAAAAACATAACGGGATGATTTATCGAATTTTAAAAGCAAACTCGACATCCGCGCTGTATATGCGGTCATTTAAAAAACAAATCAATCTTCAGAAATCGACGCGTTCAAACATACGTACAGACGTCGCTCTGATCAAGAATATATATACTTTGTGGGGTCTGCCACGCCTCTTTCTGCCTGTTACATACATTTCAACAAAACCATTATACCCTGATTTCCCATTGAAAATGGGTTCAGGGTATCACAAAATATAACGGACGAAAAAAAGTTACATTAACAAAAAGAACGAATCAATCAGAAAAATAATCCCTAAATGACAATACCTATTATTGATATCATATTAAACGTACTACATATTATAGATTTGCGATTTTATTTATTTAATACTAACATTTAAATAAGATTCCCAAATGTCAAATAAAGCATTCACAGATGATTTTTAATTACTATTCGCCTTCTCAAACACATTACGTAATGTCTAATTAAATGTATTTTCTTTTTACAGATTGACGATATTACCATTGAATCTTCTTCAAGTTTGGAAATTTTAAGAAGAGTTGCAGCGTTGGAGGCTGAAAATAAGGAAATTCGAAATATTGTTTCAAATTTTGCTCAACTGTATAATGATATGCTGAAACGTATTTCAATTATCGAAAATAACAGAATTTTAAATTAAAATATATTAGTGGCTTGATACGAATAATCATGAAAAAGTAATAATAAGCGAAAACCAAATATTTACAAAATTGTATGAATTATTGTCAACTCCATTATATACTTGATTTGTATTTATGAGACAAGAGCAAGAATATGACGCTAATAACTGATATGTATAACCTGATGAGATAATAAAAAAAAAAGTATTTGGAATATTAACAATTTTTAAGAAATAACCCTTTTTATACCCTGAACCCATTTTCAATGGGAAATCAGGGTATAATGGTTTTGTTGAAATGTATGTAATAGGCAGAAGGAGGCGTGGCAGACCCCACAAAGAATATATATTCTTGATCAGGGCGACGAGCTGAGTTGATCTGGCCCTGTCCGTCTGTCCGTATGTTTGAACGCGTCGATTTCCGAAGATAAAAGAGCTAGAGACTTGAATTTTTTTTAAATTACCGTATAAACAGCGCGGATGTCGAGTTTGCTTTTAAAATTCGATAAATCATACCGTTATGTTTTTATCGAATAAAAACATTCAAGTTCAAGATGCCACTACAGCTAATTGTGAATGATTTTTTTTTTTTTTAATTTCTCAAATATTCAATATAATATGTAGATCATATGCTGAAAGTTTAAATTTTATTCAGTCAAAAATTAATTAAAAATCAATTAAATATTTGGCCAATTAACAAACGCACGTGCAGCCGCTACAACAGCATTGTATACGTTCATTCAAACTTCTTATGGAACATTCTTTGAATCACATCAGCTGTTAGTTTGGTTTAGTTTTGGTAGATGGCACTGCAGCAGTGAATCTATTTGAGTTTTGACAGCGCAGCTTTTAGAAGTGAGGTGGCGTAGTGAGTAGCTGCGTGACGCTCGGTCGAGAAGTCCCGTCGATTTCAGAAGATATAAGAGCTAGAGACTTCAAATTTTTTTAAAATGTCCGTGTTTACAGCGCGTATATCGAGTTTATCACTAAAAATCGACAAATCATCCCGATTTTTTTATCGATAAAAACCCTTATCGAAAATCAGTTATAAAATTATATCTCCTACATCTTTCGAACTACAGTCTCCCAATTTTGAATGTATATTTATATGCATTTTATACAAATTCGTTTTTTGTTAAAATTTACCCGCCACCCCTAAATCACCTTTGTAAAAGGCGTATTTCAAATACTAGAGACTTATGCTTTTGCAGGTGCACGCATATTATTGTTATAATTACGATCTACAAATTTCATGAAGATCGTATGTCCAAAAAAAAGTTATGAAACAATTAAGTTCTCATATTAAGCGCACACTGCAACCCATGCGTGTTTATGCGTGGGTGCTTGTGTGTGTATGTTTTTGTGTGTGCACGTGTTTCTTGTGTAAGCAGAAATACGCAAAAAATTATTGAAATAGCTATTGCTCGAAGGGTTCAGGGGATCTCGTAGTCGAGCAGTCTCGACTAGAGCTTTCTTACTTGTTATTAGTTAGTTATCTTTTGTTAGTTATCTTTTGTTACCGAACCGGCAAACAGTTTTTATTATTTTATATGGCTTGGGAAGCACGCAGGATCCTTTTTGGTGTAAGACCTACTTACTTTCTCTTACTTTCGTTTCATTTATTTATTTATTTTACTTTTTTCTTTTCTATATTGTTGCCAGACTTATTCTCTTCCGAAAGGGAAGCCCAAAGTATTCCTCTTTGGTTCTAAGACCTATTAGGGTAAGGGTTATTCCACGATCGAATAGAAGGTCTCTGCAATTCATGTTTTTATTTTATGCTTTGCTTGTTGATTAGAGATTTCCAGATAACCGCCTTTTAGTTAGTGCTTTAAACTTAATTTTGACCACTAGGTTCCTTTTAATTTATACGGAAACCCATCATTCAACACAGGTGGAAATTGTGACCTTTATTTTTTATGACATTTGTCTTACGGCAAGGATTTGATCCTCGATACGAGAATAAATCTCGTACCACCATTATGCCTGCAAATTTCTTTTATTTTCGTTTTAAGAGTCGTCTTGGCACGGATTTGAACCTAGGTATTGCCAATACCACCATTTAGCCACGATTTCTTTTATGTTATAGAATTATCAAGTACACCAACACTTGCTAGAAATTATGTTATTATTTATTGTATTATGTTATGGCAAGCACTTTCACCCCATTACTTTGCAAATCACAGAAGTACTTCATAATTTTGCCAACAATTGCCCTATTGGATTGCAACAATTTATTTGTACTTGCTTTTTTTAATAAGTTATTTTTATAGAATTATTGACACGTCACCATTTCCCTTTACTTCCGTGAAGAATGTGGGTCCCTGCTCGGGCGCCAGTTAAGCGCTCCCACACTAGAGTACTAGTGATTGGGGACGCTGTGTTGGGTTCTTGTGAATATATAACAACTTTGTGTTCAATGAAATAATATATTTTGTATAATTTGGAACAATAGGTCTAAACTCTCTCTAGTCCGAATATATACTAAACTAAATGTGTTCTACTGGTTAGGTTCTCCCCCTTGAATGTCTGACTGGACTCTCCAGCCTCCTTAGATTGTCGAAAGTCTTAACTTATATTCACAAGAACCCAACACAGCGTCCGCAATCACTAGTACTCTAGTGTGGGAGCGCTTAACTTACATACATTAGAGTTCTGGTAGTGTACTCGTTGGTGATAGTCTTCCAAATATTTAAAACTTTTCATGTATTTGGAAATCAAAATTTATGAAACAAGACTCTAAGATCCGAGTTAAAGCTTCAAGTTGACCAAAAGAAATCTAACACAAATCAAACCAAGGGAAACATGTGGGAGGGACAAACGAAACATTAAGATGTACTTATTTTGGGTTACTTGATATTTTCAAGTAATGTTTGCCAGCTGTTCACATCTATTGCAAATGGTTTAGAAATCGAAAATAAATGCTGAAATTACGAGTAAAAAAAACTCTAGTCAAGAGTGATCAACAAGATACTACCCTGATGCAAACTATTAATATTTTGAATTTCTATATATTTAAAAAAAAATAATAGTTTTGAATGTATATAATCTTAAGTGTAGATGTATAGTTACAAATTTTGCCAGGATACAGTCTTAAACTTGCATATAAGCAATGAAAACGGTTTTCATTTAGTGGATGGATCCCGTTGTTTTTATACCCTGAACCCATTTTCAATGGGAAATCAGGGTATAATGGTTTTGTAAAATGTATGTAACAGGCAGAAGGAGGCGTGGCAGACCCCATAAAATATATATATTCTTGATCAGGGCGAAGAGCTGAGTCGATTTAGCTCTGTTCGTCTGTCCGTCCGTCCGTCTGTCCGTATGTTTGAAAGCGTCGATCTCAGAAGATATAAGAGCTAGAGACTTGAAAACCAGTAATAAATTTATATCTCCTACATCTTTAAAGCTAGAGTCTCCAAATTTTATATGTAGATAAAATATATGCATTTTATACAATTTCGGTTTTTGTCAAAATTTACCCCCCACCCCTAATTCACCCCCTCACCATCACATTTGTAAAAGGCGTATTTCAAATACTAGGGACTTGTGCTTTGGAATTAAGTTATTCAAGAAATAAATTCTTGTAATGTTGCCCACACTGCAGCGCAGCCCAAGCGCAGTCGCTGCTTACTGCGCAGTTAGCAGAGCGCGTTCTAATACGTGCGTGTGCATGTATATGTGCCGAAAAGAAGTGCAATGATTAGAATATCAAATTAGAGGGTACAGGGTATCTTCTAGTCGAGCAGTCTCGACTAGAGTCTTCTTACTTGTTATACTCTGAACCCATTGAAAGTGGGAAATCAGGGTATAATGGTTTTGTTAAAAGTAAGTAACAGGCAGAAGGAGGTGTGGAAAACCCTATAAAGTATATATATTCCTGATCTGGTCGAAAATCTGAGTCGATTTAGCTCTATCCGTCCATCCGTCTGTCTGTCTGTATATATCACGCGCATATCGAGTCTTTCTTAAAAAAAACGATCACTTGGCCAGTTATTTTGTTATCGATTAAAAACTTTATCGCAAATCAGTAATAAATTTATACCTGCTCCATCTTTAGAGCTAGAGTCGACAAATTTTTAATGTAGATTCATATGTACTTTATAGAATTTCGATTTCTTTTAAAATAAAAACAATTTCAAAGTGCTCAAATATTTGAAGGATATAATCGTACGAAATAAGACTAGAAATAGTAAAGCATTTGTACAAAGGTTGTTGGGTATAATAAGTACCTCTGGAGCGTCGGCTCCCTTCTTATATTGGTTTAATAATTGAATGAATATTATATCTTTAAATAATTTGGTTTAGCCTTAGTATGTAGAATCATACCTACACGTGCTCGTTCTGTCGCTGCCGTCAGTTTGTTATGTATTAATGGTTACAATATTACAAAATATTGATAAGAACAAAATAGTAAAGGAAACAGAATGAGAATCAGAATAATGAAAATCACTGCGCAACTTTGGTAACAAGTGTATACCAACGATTACGCCTGGGCAATGCGAGTGATTTCCCTAAGATGACTTGAAAGCAAGGATTTTGTTAATGGAAGAGAGGGATAGAACTCTAAGGAAAATTATAATATTAAACAAGTAAGAAAACTCTAGTGGAGACTGCTCGACTAGATACTACCCTGAACCAAACTAATAAAAAGGCCCATTTAGTATGGCTAAAATTTAAATTGCGATGTATTTAAAAATATAAATGAAATACAAAACTCATTTAATTAATAAATAAATATTTTGAAACAATTAAAAAAATCAGTTGCGCGTTTGGAATTCGAACGCCACCTTAGTTTTGGAAGCTGCGCTGGCAAAATTGAAAAAGATTCACTGCTGCAGCGCCATCTAGCAAAACTAAACCAAACTAACAGCTGTCCTAGAAGAAGTTTGAATGTATGTGTGCACACGTATACTGTTGTAGCTGCTGCACGTGCGTTTGTTAATTGGCTAAACATAACGTCGATTGACTTTATTTATTTATTTATTTATTTTCTTAAAGCTATTGACAAAAATGAGAGTCAATTTTAATTTAAAAAAGCCTATACAAAGTACACGATATAATTTCAATAGTAACACCAACCCGATGGGGGTATTTTATTTGCCAGTCCGGCCGGCTATGCCCACGTCTCACAGCCAAATATGGTCAGTGATACTATTGAAGCTATGAAAAGAAAGTGTTAGTAAGAAAACTTAAAAAAATAAAATATTAAAATGTAGGTTATTAAACAATATTTAGCATACTTAAAATAATTCTTAAAATAATAATAAAAAATATAAAAAAATAATAATAATAATAAAAAAAATAAAATAAAATAAATAAATAAATAAAAGGAGTTAAAAAAAAACAATAATAAAAAAGAAAAAAAGAATAAAATAAGAAGAGGTAAAAGTATAGAAAAAGAAAAAAGGCCGGTAATAAGAGAAGTTGCAAGAAAAGTTAATAAAAAGAATAAGAAATAATAAAAAGAAAAGAGTAATGGAAGAGCCAAAAATAGAGTATAAGAATAGAATTGAGAAATCACTAACACAACATTAGCAGCAAAAGCGTATGCCAATGCTTATGCCTGGGCATTGTGAGTGATTTCCCTAAGATAAGCTGATAGTACACTTTTTATTTTAGGAGGAGAGAGCTCTAAGGAAAAAACGTGATAATATTTATTAAAATTAACACAAAGAACATGAAACGCACTGTGCAAAGAATAATCCCTAGTGCACACAGGTAAATGAAGCGGACGATAGTGTCTAGTTGCTCGGGACGGAACCAAAAAATTTAGACGACCCAACAAAGAGGACGAATCAATATCACCACTAATCAATTTATGCAGAAAAACAATTCCTAAAATTGTTCTGCGATTGGTTAGCGATGGAAGATCAATTAGCTGGAGCCTACTATGATAAGACGGTAATCGTAAATTACTGTCCCATCTAAGGTCTCTTAAGGCAAAGAGAAGAAACTGTTTTTGGACCGATTCGATACGATCCTGATACAGTTTATGTTGCGGAGACCATACGACAGAACAATACTCTAGGATAGGACGCACAAGCGAAGTAAATAAGCGCTTGGTAATAAAAGGATCTTTAAATTCCTTAGACCAACGTTTAATAAAGCCAAGCGCACTTTTGGCTTCATTAATTATGGTAGAAATATGAAGATTAAAGTTAAGTTTACAGTCAAAGAATACACCAAGATCTTTGACTGTAAAGATGCGTCGTAAGGAATTATTGCTAATTTTATAATCAACAATTAGAGGAACGGTACGACTGAAGGTCATTGTCATACACTTTGAGCAATTTAGGTCAAGCTGGTTTGCCACACACCAAAGTTGAAATGCATTTAGGTCATCTTGAAGGTGAAGATGTCCATTTGCCCTGGAGTATGGAAGGCAAAGTTTTACATCATCAGCATACATAAATATAGTGGAATACGAGATACAACTAGGAAGGTCATTTATAAAAAGGGAAAAGAGCAATGGGCCCAAATGGCTACCCTGAGGTACACCAGACGAAACAAAGATAAGTTTAGACATAGCTGTTCTCAGCAAGACTCTTTGGGTTCTACCCGTTAAATAGGATGAAATCCAAGAGACA